TATACGGTAATGGAATGAAAAATTTTAGTAAAACTAAACAGTTGTAATAAAAAAGATTTACACAATACAGTATAGAGTTACCTTATACTTGATTAAATTTAAATACTTTTAACAAAATGTTCTCCTACATTCTGGACTAACATACATCCTCATTAAAATGCCTCTTGAAATCAAAATAACAATCGCATAAACTATAAAATTTCATCAGATACCATCTGAGATTAGGTACAACATACACATTATAACACTTAAAAACTCGACCTGCACCGTAGCATGACATTGAACCCTCTAGTCTATGGAGATCCCAAAAGTTAGCTAAACTGCTCCACAACTTAGCATCCAAAGAGCACACATATATGCACCCACGGAGGTGATTTAAGTCTTGCGACCTATGTTGGTAAAGCATACACCCCATCGCGACAAAAGAAACATGGAAGAGGACCAGAGTGTCTCAATAACAACAATAGGGTTAACCCACCTTGCCATAAACCACCACCACCCATGCGAAACACCTAAACTTTTTATGATTTTCAGCTTCTATGACATAGAGAGAAGCAAAAGATTGCAAAGATGCGGATGCAATCAAGTGAATGTGCTTATAAGGCATCAATACTGATACAACAATCCTTCCTCCTAGAAACAGATTCAACTACCATCCCCTATCGAGAAATTAATGACACTATGGATAAAAGATAGATACACTCATAAGAAAATAGCTTTCAACAGGTTCCTATAGATTAGCAGATAAAATAGCAATATCATCTCACTCATTTGGTGAACCCTATATTATGCGAGTCCGAAACCTTTCACTTAATGCTCATAAGGAAAACAACATAACTGCTGAGAAAGCAGATCAATATTCTACAACTCCATGTTTACATCTGAAGGATCTGGAAGCGTCATAAAGTGCAGCTCAATTGGTCATCCATTGCTATATTAAGTGTAACAAAGAAGCGAGCAAGGCTATCCATAAGGAATATCCAATATTGAGTTTTGACATCAGCAACAAAATTCCAGTCACCAAGACAAGTTTGAAGCATTCTGAACTTGCCTACAAAGAATCTTTAACTAATAGAAATAGAATAGTCTCCAATAAATGGATAAGAGTGCCTCATTTGCTTTCCATAAATCATCCCAGAATCAAGTGGTTTTTATATTGCTCATTATATTTCAGAAGCTATTTCAACTTTAACATTTGCAGGAGCCTTTAGAGTGCTTACTAGCCAATTAGGGATAGACCACCAGTCACCTTTGGAAACTCTGTACTTAATTGCCGCAACTTCCACAAAAACATAGTCATCTTTCTCAAAGAAGAATCCCCATAGCCAACAAAAGAGAATGATTTTTGCAGTGAAGGTCACTAAAAGTCAAACCCTAGAGAACTTTACCTTGTTCCACCAACTTACCAAACAGAACCGTCTTCAGTACCAGTGCAATTTAAACAAAGCCCACCCCTCAAGTTTACTCGAGGATTCTGACATTCATGCAACAAAGTAGGCAAGAATACTCTGCTTACTTGAGGGACAGGAAAAACTATGACATGTCTCTTAATTTTAAACGTAGATTTTCTAAAACCCCAAGGTTCATTCTTAAAGATCATCAACGACAAATCTCTCGCTGAGACCAACAATGACTAGAATCTAAAAAAATGGACACAACTTCATGAACAAGAACCACAAACCTGAAGTGGGTCCTCCTGAGGGAAGACTTGAGACAGCTGAAAAAGACATGATAATATCGGAGAGATATTTATGTGCCAATCAACCTAAGGGCCGACCTGCAAAAGCGGTGGTGGATGTGTTAAACAAAAAAATCACAAGTATCTAATTGAATGATTCACTGCCTACGAAGAACATATGGGATAAAGCTGAACACAATTATAACCAGGATTAACTCCTTTAAAGATATTTATTACCAACCAAGAACAACAGCAAATGGTATCTATGAGGTAGAGGCGGTCTGATAGATCAATAAATGCCTGACACTTAGCGTAGTCACGCTGTCAGCAAGACAGCCGGACCTTGCTTTGTGTATCTTAAATGACGTGCGAAAAGGCAGCCGCCATTAGAACTTTAACAGCACATCCGATCAGAAGAGCATGAAATACTCACGATGTCAAAAATAAAAATTGAAACCCAAGAAAAGAACACACCCATTCATCGAAAACAAAGTGGATCGTCTCGTGATTCATCAAATTAAAAGACTACCCAATTCAAATAAACAAAGCCTGAAAACAACACATTCATAAGGAGTTCGATCCCCATGTTCCGGATCCAAGAAAAAAGAACAAGAATCACAACCCCCCACATGACTACAACACATTCACCTAACCCCAAACACCCACAAACCCCAGAAAGCCATCAGCCTCAAAATTGAAGCAGAACACCCCAAAACCTCGATCCACACCACACCCAGTTGGTTAGAACATAAAATTATGAAGCAGAAACACAGAAAAACAAAAACAAGCGAGAAAGGATTAAAGAAAAAAAAAAAAAAAAACCCAAATCACAAACCTTAAGGTGAGAACCAATCAGCTGATTTGGTGAATTGAAGAGCAGCAAAGAGGAAAAGTCAGGAGGTAGGGTTTGGGAGGGAAGAAGAAGAAAAAGAGGAAGGATCAGAGGGATCGAAGAGAGGAATGGAAGGGTGCAGAAGAAACGATAAGATGGTGTTTGGTCCAAGCCGACAAGGAAATTTCTTTGTTTGTGTGCAAAAATTATAATTTTTTTTTTTTTTTTTTTTTTAGGGTTTTGAAGAGAGAGAGAGAGAGAGAGAGAGAGAGAGCAACGGGTGCTTGACTGTGTGCCCGCGTCAAACTGGAAGGAAGACCGGAGTCGGGAATACAACAAGTTGCTTTATTTATTTATTTTAATATTTAAAAAAAATATGATGATTGTTAATTAAATAATTAATTAAAAAAATAAGAGGAACAGATGAGAAGGGGGCGCCCCGAAAGGGATACATCAATTCCTTAGTCTTCCTATGCTCTCAACACCTTCTTCCCTAAACTCCTCTCTCCCAAATTCTCTCTCTTTTTTTTCCTTTTTTTTTTATTTTTATTTTTTATTTTGCTATTAATTATTTATGCTTTCTCTCTCTTCTTTTTTCTTACTTCTTTCGCCATCCCTTCTTTCCTTATTTACGCTTTTGCCTTCCTCTTTCCACTCTCCTCTATTCATCCCACTATCCATTCTTATCCCTTCCCATCTCCTCAATTTTCTATTTATTTTTATTACAAATTAATTTTAAATCATTTTTTTTTAATTATTTTCCTTTTGTAATATAACTTTAAAAAAAAGATCCATTTTTCTTTTGTAATATAACTCAAGTCACTACAAATTAAATGATTATTTCTAAATGCATTATTACTCTTTGAATTGTTACATTGTCAAAGTATAACATCTAAAAATCTATCTCGTAACAGCCAAATCCAACAATGCATACCTCTAATATTTCCAAACTGCAATCATGTTTCATCTCGCAAACACAATTCAATAACATTGATCAAAACTAAAGAGATTTAGGAGGAGAAGCATTTTGGAGGGTCAACCATAAATCTCTTGAACCTCAAGTTGTGAATTTAATCCTCGCTCGTTAATGCTAATAGCATGTTCATGTAGTCCACAAGTGTCTAGATGTTTAAAACGTGTGGGGTTAAAGTTTTTTTTTTTTTTTTTATCTACAGTGTCTCAACGTTGTAGAATTTTCTTTATTTGAAGAGACAATTTTGATTACTAAATTCATCATTTTCTTTAAGACGAACTTGTTTATGATTTATGTTTCAATTTATACACACTTTAAAGATCTACATCTGATACTTTAGATTATGGGACACCTTGAGATATTTTGTTTTTAACTTTGGGTGAAACTTTTGTAAGAATCAAACTACGGCAAATGTTGCCTATATCGTTATGATAAGAGGCTAGAGTTCAAGTTCTAATTCAAAAATCAGTAGAGTTTAATTGTAAGACGGTGTGACATCGAGCTTTAGTAAATTTCTATTAATTAAAGAAAACGATCATAAAATATGAATAGTATAGAAAGTTCAAAATTAAAACGTAAAAATGAAAAAAAGATGGTACGTGTTAGTAAAGTTGATTGGACGATAAATAAAATAAAGCATAATTGAATGGTGTTGTTAAGGTATTATTGGTTGAGAGGAGGAGGTAGAAGGAAAGGGGCATTGGATGCATTGAATCTCTTGTGTGGCTGCCAATGCCATGGGCATGTGGAAAGTCAGAGTGGCGCATCTTATAAATGTGGGATAAAATTGACGTTTTTTTTTTTTTTTATTTATAATTTTTTCTCCAAGATTTTGACATTGATGTGAAAGTAATTGAACTGGACCATTGTTTTCTTACTTTTATAAGATTAAAAGAAAAAATCTTCAATTTCGTTAAAATCAAAATCTGAATTCAGCCCAAGCCCATTCTATTTTAGGAAGAAAAGAAAGAAAAATAAAAGCCCTAGCTCCCTCCTCTTTGCCACTGCTGATACTATGGTGCACGTTTCTTTGTACAGAAATTGTGAGTATTCCCTTCTCTTTCACACTACTATTATCCATGTTAGTAAAGATTAACGTCAATTCCTCTTCAAGCCGTATCTTATTTATCCATACACCAGATAATGAGAATGTTACAGAAACACGTCTCTTCTGTTTGGACCTGCTTTTCATGGGATTAGAAATGTCCTGGTGATAAAATTGAGTTGGGATTAATAGTTTTCATCTTTTTTTTGTGGGCAATGTTGATATTGATGAATTTTCCCTATATTTATATATAAAAATATGTTCTATCAATAATTATATATAGAATAAGTAATTTATAAGTTAAGGGATCGCCATGTTAGGGATGGATGATGGAGTAAATTAATATGCAATCATTCATATCATGTTTGTGTTTGATATGAAAGCAGCAGAGTACGATGAGTTGGCAGAGATCCGTTGTTTGGGATTCCGGGTTGGAAGGAAGACACGAAAGGCAACCCCACATGGACAGTGATGAGAATATTTGGAAATGAAACAAATCCATATTGTGTGGTCAAACAATCATGTGCTTCACATTCAAATACAGGGAAGCAAATGGAAGTTCACATCTCCCCTGAGAGGGTATTCCCAAAAACAAAAGCAAAAGCAAAAAACAAAGCAAAGCAAAGCAAACCAAACCAAACGGTACATTAATCCTCCACTTTTCTAATTACTACTTAAACACATCCCTAATTTTTCTGACTCCAAACCAAAACCAAAACCAAAACCAAAACCAAAACCACAACACTTCAATTTCACAACATATCTCATGTGTGGCAGGCACACACACATCCATCTGCCTTTGCAAACAGCGCCCCCTCTGCTGTGGATCACAACCATTTTTTTTTATCCTTCCATGGTTAAGGAACTCCCAGCTGCAACCGAAGTCAATAACAGGAAGCATGTTATTCATGTCATAATACTAATGGAATTCATACCAAAGTCAACAACTATCAGCTTTGCAAACCAAATGGGTATGTATACAAATACAATTTATTACCTGGGGTGTGGTCATCAGGATGATCCTTGTGCTGGCTTTCCATGCACTTGAGAAGGTATTTGAAGGTCTCGATCTCGCATGGGAATGTGAGGCCGCCGCTATGATCAAATCCAAACTCCTCCTCTGCCTTTTCCAGCAACACCTTGAACACCGAATGGCTAAGATAGCTAGTGGGAATGATGAACCTCCGAAGCTCCGGCCCAACATAAACAGCCAAGTACCCTTTTGGGACGTCGGGTGGATGTTCAGGGCTCTGGCAGCTCTCCTCATCCGAATCACAACACAAAACATTCGTCAGCCTTTTGTTGATTGCTGGTGAAAGGATCCCATTATTTAGATTTAGATTTTGGCTTTGATTTTCATGGGCTGCTGCTTTGGATATCGGGTTAATTGTGACGCCTTGCCAGTGTTGGAGAGTCTCTTTCAGCCTCACAATCTGGCGGATTCCAGTCAACTTGATCCCACCGTTTTCATCCATTTCTAGACGTTCACCACAATTGAACAGAACCCCAGGACAGAACTCGCTGTGTCTAATTCCAGAAACACAATTCTCATCAGAACACCACTACCTAGAAGTTGAAATTGCCGGTAATAGAATAGTTTTGAATGACACTAACACAAACTAAAATAGTAAAAAGCTCAAAGTAGAAAATCAAGTAGAGGAAATAAAAGGAAAGGCTGTACTATAGCAAGAAGAAAGAAAGAGAAACACAAGCATGCTCCATACAACCAACAAATAAAGAAACAATAATAATCAGAGTAGGATCCATTTGATTCATCAAATCATGTACAAGAGACTAAAATTCCCTCTCACCATTCGTTCCTCACATTGAGATTCAAAACCAGAATCAAAGTCTGTAAGAAGGTTGCAATGCAATGCAACGCAAGGGAACAACAATGATGATATTACCTGATTGACAATAAAGGAGGAAAAAAAAGGGTCAAGACAACAGGAAACGGTGAGGTTAAAATTCGAATTTGAGGAAAACGTGTTTTACAATGTCTGAAATGGAATGGATGAAGAATTATAATAAAGACAAGGAATTGTACAAAAATGGAGGAGAGGTGGAAGAGTGAGGCGAATCCAAGCGCAGAAAATGCGGAAAGAAAGAAAGAAAGAAAGAAAGAAAGAAAGAAAGAAAGAAGAAGATACCGGCGTAGAAGAAGAGCATTTAGGTGGAAAGGCGAGGAAGAAAAGGCATGGGAGAAGGAGGAGGGTTGAGGGGGAAGCGGAGGGAAGAGAGGGGAAGGAGTATTTATTTATGCGGTTCGGGGGAACAGAGGAATGGGCGTTGGAAAAGGAAGGTGCCTCCGGAAACGATGGCCGATTCTTTTGGACTGCCTTCAATTTCTTATTTATTTTTTTATTTTTTCTTATTGTCTTTGGATTTCATTTTGTGAAATGAAACAACTTTTTCATCCAAACTCACCAATAACGTTACTTTTTAACCTTTTTGTTTGGAAATATATATATGTATTTTTTTTACAATTCAACCAAATATATTTTATCCCAAAACCTGCTACGGCGGAGGCACTGCTTCACTTCTGCTCCTTTGCAACACCAGACTGTTCATTTCCGCCTCCTCTACGTCCGACGCCATGGATGCAATCAACGCCCAACTTCCGCTTTCGACCAATTCGGACGACGAAAATTTGGTCAATGGAGATGACCCAATGCCCGACCTTCCCCAGAACCCCACTTCCCCCGCCTCCGATTCTTCTTCCTCCGACTCTGATTCCGAAGTCGACGAATCCGACCAGAAGCTCCAACTCCAGACCCTTCAATCTGAGCTCTCCTCCAACCCTTCCAACTACGATGCCCATGTCCAAGTAATTTTTCTCTACTCTCTTTAATGCTTCTTCCCATCATTTCTCCCCTTCACTTCTGCATACACTAAGTTTATGCGTTACTTGTTTTTGATGCTCGCTCATCCCCACTTCTTCAAGTATATAAAACTTTTGAGGAAAGTTGGCGACATCGACAACCTGAGGAAAGCAAGGGAAGCAATGAGTGAGATGTTCCCTTTAACCCCTTCAATGTGGCAGGAATGGGCCAAAGACGAAGCGTCTATCAGTACTGGGTAATCTCGTCTATTTTACCTTTTTAGATGTCCCGTTATTTCTTTTCCGGTGGTGCAGAAGTTTCTGAAGTTGTTACTCCGTTGCTCCTTAAATTCATTAGAGAGCTCTCAATTTCAAACTTCTAACAAGCTCTTGAATCTTCAACCCTATTTCATTGTGAGAGGGTTTTGGATTTCTGTTAACCCTTTTCTTGCTAGTAGTCGGTTATGAATTAATTTTACTCTCCTTTTTCTCGTTGCCTTTGCAGACCAGAGGATGTTGCTGCAATTGAGAGGCTATATGAGCGAGGGGTGTTTGATTATCTGGTTTGTATCGGCTGCCATTTGGAGATTAGCTTTTGGTATTACGAGAGATGTTACATGTTAGACTAACAAATGCTAGCATATTAGCAGTTTATAGCTACTGCAAGCCAATTGTTACACCACATGTCCTTTTCTTCCTACACGTATCTGGAACCCCATATTATAATCAATATATTTTATACATTGTCGGATTTAACAAATTATAGCTTGGACTCTTAAGCTGAAAATTGTACTTTTACTTTTTGGACTATTAATTAGTTGCCTTGAAAATAAAGATGGTTGGCTATGTAACTCAGCTTTCTGCACGAGTTTCTACTTTCAATGTATAAAACGAATCATTTTCAAGTTTGAGGACAATAGTTTGCTTTGTAATTTTCTTTTATTCAGGATGACAATATTTTGAAATTGTACGGTGTCATGATGTTTTCAGATTTTGTTTTGTAGCACATGATTATGTGAGATGGTTAACTTTCACTATGTTATGCAGTCAGTTTCTCTTTGGTGTGACTACCTAAATTTTGTTCAAGAATATGATCCAATGGTGCGAGATCGTGCAACTTCTAGAATTAAAAAGGCTAGAGATTTATTTGAACGTGCTCTCACAGCTGCTGGTTTGCATTTTACTGAGGCTGAAAAATTATGGGAAGCATATAGAGAATTTGAGAAATCCATATATCAAAGCATTGACGAAACCGATACTCAGGTCCGAACCTCTTTCCTTTTTTTATTTTTATTTTTTATGTTTTTGGTCATCTTCTATGAGGTGTCTCATTTACGATGTAACTTAATTATATGGCTCAGAGCTATATAAATTTATTGTTTTTAAGGATTGAAGTCCCTTTGTGTAGCACTTGGAACTTCCTTTTTGTTTGTTTGTTTTTTTTAATAATATTTTTGTATGTCCTTGTATTCTCTTTCATTTTTTCTCAATAAAAGTTCGATTTCTTACACACACACACACACACAAAAAAAAAAGTGTCATTTGCTACGTTTTTGTATGTGCACTCCAATTGGAAACGGCAAAAGCAACCAAAAGTCATCGCAAGGAGCACATCTTTTTGTTGATCCTTGTTCCTTGAATACATTAAGGGTAGTATCTCATGTATGGCAAGTTTCTGATTTTTTCATAAATATTTTTCTTTCTGTTGTGGATGATCAATGAAATTAATTTTAACTTGGATAGAAATTGTACTGATGGTCAGAGTTGCATATTTTTCTGTAGGCGAAAGAAAAACAAGTCCAGCTAATCCGAAGCATTTTCCATCGTCAGTTGTCACTTCCTCTATCTAACATGAATTCAACGCTTGAGGCCTATAAGGCATGGGAGATGGAAGTGAAACAAGGCTGCATTCTTGATGGGAAATCTAATGACTCGGATGGGGTTCCTTCTCAAGTCGCCTCAGCCTATCAAAGAGCATTGGATATGTATAATGCCCGTGTTCAATTCGAAGAACAAATATCAAAACAGGATTTAACTGATACTGAAAGACTTCACCAGTACATTGTATGTTGCATTTACATTTTATTATGCGAAACAGACTTTTTGGAGTTTTAATATAATTCTTTAATTTCTTCAGATTTACCTGAAATTTGAACAATCTGCTGGAGATCCCGCAAGGGTACAAGTTCTGTTTGAGCGTGCAGTTGCTGATTTTCCAGTGGTGGTTGATCTGTGGCTTGATTATACCCGTTACATGGACAAAACTTTGAAGGTTTCTCCTTTCCAGTTTCCTATGAACTATGGATATATCTTAACATATAATTATACATGAGGTTTGGGTTTTCAGGTGAGCAATATTGTGAGGAATGTTTACTCTAGGGCGACTAGGAATTGCCCATGGATAGGTGATCTTTGGGTCCAGTATTTGCTTGCTTTGGAACGTGCTCATGCTTCTGAGGGTGAAATTGCTTCCGTAAGTTTTGACAACCACACCCTTTCTCTGGAGCAGTTCTGTTAAATATTGTTTGGTCTGATTTCATTTAACAAGATTATTATTTCACATTTGGTTCAAGAAAATCTCTCGCCAAAATTTATTTACAGTGAGCAGGGAAACACAAATAAATTACTAAAATTTGCAAGACTACTTCATTTGCCTCTATAATCCAATCTCTTGAATCTTCTTCTTTTTTGATCCAATGGCATTGAGTGAAATATCTAGAGACTAGAATAAGACAAAAGTTTCTTTTAACCAACTCAGTACATGAAACTTCATTATGATCATTACACTCATCCAAACAATTTACCACTGCATCACAAATCATTTCCCATAAAACCAACCAGCCTCTTTTATTGTTCCCAACTGGAATCATAACTACTGATCTATCGCTAGAAGGTTTTATAACAAAACATTTGAGAATCCAGCCGAAACGATCCATCTTCTTACATAATCAAAAAATTTCAAACTCATTCTTAGCCGAAAGAAATGTGATGTTAATGGACACTGCATAAGGTCAACTAAAGCTTCCTCAAATCAAAGAAGTTTCTTATGATGAGCAACACTGGAGCAAAGACAAGAACCATTTTTTTTCTTAATCGTGAAAAAATCCTAGCCTAAAAGATTTATGAAAAATGCATTATTTCAACCTACAACTGATAGACCTCATATTCTGAATGATCCTTAAGCACAACTTGAATTTTGACCGATAAGAAGGCTAAAAGGGATGAACACTAAGATGGATGAAGGCTAAGAACGGATGAAGGCTAAGGATGGTGAAGAGAATGAACGAAGAAAAAGGAGAGAGCATACATTAGATTCCACTCTTCCTGATGACTTGAATGAATAAATGAAAGTATACATAAGTGAGAATTCCATACATCCCTCATTGCCCTTTTGCTTACAGTTTCATCCTGAATACATTCTATTTGGTTTGGTGTTCCCCTAAAAGTATAGTCGATGGGCTTTATGAGCTTCTCTTAGGCTGGTCTTTATAGAGAAAACAAAGATTTTGTGGTCAAATGCTTGTGAGCTCGTTTGTGGGCGTTATGGAAAAAAAAAAGAAACAGCAGATTATTTTCAGATAAATCTTCCTCAAGCAATTTTTTTCGTTTCTGTTTTTGTGTGTGTGTGTAAGTGTACAGTTTACTGCCTCTAAATGGAGTGTTTTACACAATTCTTTTTGTAATACACAGATGGTGAATGATCATCAATCTAGACGAGGACCTTCTGTTTTTTTGATCCTCCGTTTAGGCTTAGGGAATCCTCATTCCGAAGGCCTTTAGAATGTGTTACTCCTATTTTGTTGAATATTTGATGTCATTGTTTCCTTTATAAAAAGTAGATATTTAATTTAGATAGAACAATAAATTTAACTACCCAAACTGTATTGAATAAATAATTTAATAACTTAATGTCACTACTATTTTTGGGTCATTGCACTATATTTCATAATAAAAGTCTGATTTTCCATCATAAATGAAATTGTAGTGATTAGATGGATGGCATCTTACCGCTACAGTTTGTACCTTACTTTTGTATTTATATTTTCTATTTCTGTTTGTGTACAGAGAGACTTACTGATAATATAGTAAGTTTTACTTCTACCCAACTTGAGATCAGAATTGTTTTTCTTGATGATACAGGTCTTTGAGAAATCCGTGCTGTGCTCATTCTCAACCTTGTATGAGGTATTATTATTATTATTATTATTTTTGGATATATGCCTAATTGTTCTCATTTCCATTGGGCAATCTAATATTGGTTCCTATATAGTTGGTCTATAGTACTTCCTCAAGAGAATGGGCTTGTAGTTGTAGGGGGATGTACTTGTATCATTATTATCTTTTATTTGATGAAAAATGATTTCATTGAATAAATAAATTACAATATAAAAGGATCCCCACTTACATTACTATTATTAATTAGCATTCTCAGGTCAAGTTAAAAAGCAAAAGTCAAATTAAAATTAGCATTCTAAAAGTTTGCCTGGGATGAATTCACAAATGAGAATTAAGGTTTGAAAATTTCATTTCAGTTTGATGATATTTCATATTTGACCTTGTTGTAG